TTCCACCCTCCCTATTCACTTGATCTTACTCTGAGAGACTTTTTGGTTGTTTCCCCGGGTGAAAAGAGTTCTCGAAGGGAAATATTTTGCTGATGTGGAAGAGGTGAAACAAAAAATGGCAGAAGCACTAAAAGACATCAGAATCAACAGTTCAAAAACTTCTGAGCAGTGGAAAAGACACCTTGATAGGTGCATTGCACCAAATAGAGAGCACTTTGAAGGTGACTGAAGTGTAAACATGTAGGAATAAATACACAATTTTAATAAGTAAATTCTGGTTTTGGGGGGTCCCCCTCATATATTTTTATATTTTACATGTATGAAAATGTATTTTACATATGTAAAAAACTTTATTGAGATATAATTCATATACTGTTATAATACAATACCCATTTAAAGTATACAATCAAGTGGTTTTTAGAATAGTCACAGAGTTATGCAACCATCATATCACCCATTTGAAAACATTTTCATCACCCCAGAGAGAAACCCTGTACCCGTTAGTGGTCACTCCTCACTTCTCCCCAACCCTCCCTGCCCAGTGTAAATACTAATCTATTTTCTGTCTGAAAATTTACCTATTCTGGACAGTAGATATGAAGGGAATCATATAAGTGGTCTTTTGTGGCTGGCTTCTTTCAGTTAGCATACTGTGTTCCGTGTTGCAGCATGCATCAGTACCACCTTCCTTTTTGTGGCTGAATGTCATCTGTTTTCTTGAGGTGTAACTTACAGATGGAACCTTAATAGTATAGCTCAGTAAATGTTTACCTATGTGATCACCACTATTCCTGGAAGACTTTCTCAAGCCCTCTGCTAGTTAATATCTTTTCCCGAATATTCTCTTTGTCCTCTGGCTTCCAGTTTTTATTAGCTTTGTCTGTTTTTTGACCACCATATAGATGAAATCATAGAATATGTGTTATTTTGTGAGTAGTGTATACTTTTAGTGACTCCTTGCATGCTAACTTCTAGAGGATAAATTCCTCTGCTCTGTAGGAAAATCACTAATAAATTCAGAAAATTGTACATTTGGGTCCTTGATCTGTTCTTACCTCTTTTTAAAAATGTTTTTTAAAGGATAACACACATCTAAAAATGAGTGTTTTTGCTTATTTTATAGTTTTGGAATGTTTTAAACTAAGCTTACATAAGTGATTTTTTAAAAAATATATACTTTAACTTTATTTATTTATTTTTTTTCTGTGTCCTTATATTTATTTTTTTAAATTTTATTGATTATGCCATTACATTTGTTCTATTCCCCCCTCCACCCTGCATGCCCCTCCCCCACCATTCCCCCCTTTGTTCATGAACACGTGTCTCAAGTTCTTTAGATTCTGTATTTCCCCTACTATTCTTACCCTCCCCCTATCTATTTTCTATCTACTGTCTATGCTACTTATTTTCTGTACCTTCTCCCCCCTTCTCCTTCTCCCACTCCCCTGTTGCTAATCCTCCACATGATCTTCATTTCTATGATTCACTCCTGATCCAGTTGTCCTCTGAATTTGCTTTTGTTTTAGGTGTGGTTGTTAATAACTGTGAGTTTGCTCACAGTGAGTTCAACTTTTTTATCTTCTTTTTCTTAGGTAAATCCCTTTAACATTTCATATAATAAGGGCTTGGTGATGATGAACTCCTTGAATTTGGTCTTATCTGAGAAGCACTTTATCTGTCCTTCCATTCTAAATGAAAATTTTGCTTGATAGAGCAATCTTGGTTGTAGGTCTTTGGTGTTCATGACTTGAATACCTCTTTCCAGCCCCTTCTTGCCTGTAAGGTCTCTTTTGAGAAATCAGCTGACAGCCTGATGGGAACTCCTTTGTAGGTGACTGTCCCCTTATCTCTTGCTGCTTCTAGGATTCTCTCCTTCATTTTAATCTTGGCTAATGTAATAATGATGTGCCTTGGTGTGTTTCTTCTTGGGTCCAACTTCTTTGGGACTCTCTGAGCTTCCTGGATTTCCTGGAAGTCTATTTCCTTTGCCAGATTGGGGAAATTCTCCTTTATTATCTGTTCAAATACGTTTCCACTGGTGGCTGTTCCTTTCCCCCTTCTGGTACCCCTATAATTCGAATGTTGGAACGTTTAAAGATGTCCTGGAGGTTCCTAAGCCTCTCCTCATTCTTTTGAATTCTTGTTTCTTCATTCTTTTCTGTTTGGCCAATATTTGCTTTCTTCTGGTCCACTCCATTGATTTGAGTCCCAGACTCCTTTCCATTACTATTGGTATCCTTTGTATTACCATTCATTTCAATTAGTTTAGCTTTCATATGTTTCATAATTTGTGACTAAAATCAACCAGTTCTGTGAGCATCCTGATAACCAGTGTTTTGAACTGTGCATCTGAAAGTTTCGCTATTTCCTCATCACTTAGATTTATTGGCTCAGGGGCTCTGAGTTTTTCTTGAGCCATTTTTGGTCTATTTGCGCCGGTAAGTAAGGGGGGCAAAGCCTTAGTTGTTCACCTGGGCGGGGCCACCCAGGTCGCTGGTTTGTGACGCTGCGTGTGGGGGCGGGGTCAGAGAGGGAGCAATGGCGGTTAGCCCAGTCCGTCCCCTTTCACCACTGCCCCAGCCTGTTCATCCAAGCAGAATTGTGGGAGCCTGCTTCCCCGAGCCCTGCGGTCTCAATACTGGCCTCTTCACTGGTTTATCTGCACGCAAATGCGCGACCTACCGCAGACAGCCAGCCGCTCCTCTTCCCTGTGTGCGCCCGTCGTGAGCCTGCGATCCGATCCGCGCCTTCAGCTGCTTGTGCACCACCAGGTCAGGGATCTTTTCGGTCAACCGGCTTCGCTGCTGGTTTACCCGTTTAGCCGAGCATTTCGTCCTTTATTTATTTATTTTTTCGGACTCCGTATTGTCGATTTTCTGTGTGGTCTGGTTGTAATTATCGTTGTTAAAAATAGTTGTTCTTAGATTTGGTTGTGCACGGAAGTGAGGTGGGTCCACCTACACCTCCATCTTGGCGGAAGTCCTATACTTTAACTTTAAAACAACTAAAAAATCTGTCCTTATCTGAAAACAGGACAAAACAGTGTCTTCCCAGTTTCTGGATTTAGCCCCATTGGGAAGGCTGTGATCAGTTTAGAATTTAAAATTCGAAGGGAACATCACTACAGCCCAACAAAAATCAAAGGGATGGTAAGAGAATATTATGAACAACTTTGTGTCAAAAATTTTGACAATTTAGATGAAATAGATTCCTAGAAAGAGACAAATTATCAAAATTGATCCAAAGTGAAATAGAAAATGTGCCCTGGCTGGGTAGCTCAGCTCATTAGAGCATCGTCCCAATACACCCATGTTGTGGGTTTGGTCCCCAGTCAGGGCACGTGCAAGAAGAACCAATGACTGCATAAGTAATTGGAACAACAAAGTGATGTCTGTCTGTCTGTCTGTCTGTCCCTCTCTCCCCCCTAAAATCAATAAATTTAAAAAAAATAGAAAATGTGAATAGATCTATCCCAAATAAAAAAGCTTGAGTTAGTTTTTAAAAGTCTTCCTGCAAAGGCAAGTCTAGGTCCAAATGGCTTTATTGGTGAATGCTAGTCACATTTAAAGAAGGAAAAATGTCAGTCCTACACAAATACTTTCAGGAAATGGTGGAGAAGAGAACACTTACCTATTTTATGAGGCCAACTATCAAAGCCAGGAAAAACAGCACAAGAAAATTATAGTTCAAAATCCCTCACAAACTTAGACACAAAGTTCTTGTTATATTAACAAATTGAATTTAGGGACATATACAATGATTTATTATAATACGATCAAGAGGGTTTTCACTTAGGTATTCAAGATTGGTTTAAGATACTAAAATAATTAATTTAGTATATCATAATTAATAAAAGACAAACCCAAAATCCAACACCTGTTTATTATAAGGACTCTCAAACTGTAAAAAGAAGGGAGATTTTTCAGCCTGATAAAGGGCATCTACAAAAAACTTATAGTTCGCACTTAATGGTGAAGGATTGCCTCAGACTGGGAAGAAGGCAAGAATATTTGTCCTTCCCACTTCTGTTCAACACTGTGTTAGAAGTTTCAGCTAGAGCAAGGAGGGATAATGAAAGGAAAGTAAAGGCATCCAGATTGGAGAGGAATAAGTAAAGCTGTCTTTATTCACAGACAGCATCATCTCATATGTTGAAAATCCTAAGGAATCTATCGAACTGCTAGAATTAATCATTGAGTTTAGCAAAGTCATAGGATATAAGATCAATATACAAGAAGAACTGAAATTACAGACACTAGCAAGGAGCAATCTAAAAATAAAATTAAGAAAACAGTTGCAGTCCCAATAACATCAAATAAAATAAAATAGGAATAAAGTTAACAAAACCTCCTGAGGAAGGCTTTCCTTTATAAAGGAAAACCCACACCTGCCTTCTTATTTCAGCTTTGCCTCTAAGTAATCACATATAATTCATGCAACTTCTCTGAACCTTGTTTTCCTCATCTTTAAATCGAGCATACCAAAGTATTGTACTACTTGCTTCACAGGGCTATTTTGAGCATTAGATCGTGTTTACAGTGCAAAGATTTACAAGTGATAATTATCCTCAGTAAAGTATACAGGAGCTGTTTGCCTTCGCAGTCCCTTAGTTGAAGCCATTTGAAATGCACTTACAAACCTTGGCAATTTAGACACAGAACAGTGCTGGCTGGTTCTGCCACGCAGCAGAGGAGCCGTCATTCTGCACCCAGTCAGTTGGGACTGTTCCCAGACACCTTTCTCAATCTTTACCCTGAAATCACCAGTAAGACATTTATCTTTGAGACCATGATTTACCGATTTGGTAAAAGGTTGCCACTTTCACTTGTCATCTTTGGAATGCCCTTTTTTTTCTTTCTTCTTCATGTTATGAAGTTTGAGGAGGAATTTTAGTCACTGCATGTTGAACAACTGATTATTCTTCAAAGCTGTCATTTTTTTAGTATTTCAGTTTGTACCGTTGAATTTAACTTTTTTTCCCTTCACCTTCCTCTTTTAAGGGCTTACGGCAGCCAGCTCCTTTTTCTGATGAGATTGAAGTAGACTTCAGTAAGCCCTATGTCAGGGTAACTATGGAAGAAGCCAGCAGAGGAACTCCTTGTAAGTAAAGGCCCAGTTATTTTGTTGTTTTGCTATTGCTTTTATCATTTAATTGTATTTATCAAATATATACCTACTTCTTATATTCTTCCCTCAGTTTACCTATAAAGGCTAGTTGGGACAAGGGGGGTGAGTTTCTTTTATCTCCCTTGCTGTTCTTTTGGGAGGTTAACTACACCATAAAATTTCATTTTTTTCTTCTTATTATGCACTTGTTTCCCAGGATGTTGTCACAGCTTCGAGCGATAGCAGTGCACACTTGCGTCCTGGGCTGTAGTCACAGTTATGAGATATAGCAGAGCAGAGACAGTAAGACATTAGCCTGAGCTGGATTTCAAACTTGTCTATTTTTACAAAGGTCTGAGTAATATGTCAGGCTGTCTGTCACATTTTTAATAACCTTCAGAATTGTTGCCCACATCTTCCTTTCTGTCAGTGAGTACCCTGGCTATGATGCTGTTGATCACAGAGGACAGAAATATCCCAAGTTGAGATGCTCCTCACTTAATTTTATCTTTATTGATACAATTTTTCTAGTTTTTTAAGACTCACTTTATTATTATCAAAACTCATCCTACTTATTTGTGTGCTTGGTTTATATAATATATGTATTCTAGATAGTCTTGTTTTGTGCAGCTGGTTTTAGGGGTCATCATAAATAGAAACTTCCATGAGCATTTGTTGTGGATACAGAGTCTTAGAGACAGCTATCCTTACTTCCTAATAAATTCTTCAATTCTCTTTTTTGTTCAATCCTTTTTTATTTCTTCCAGTTACTATGGTAAGTATTCTGTCTACTGTGTAAACATAGGTCTGGATTCAAACTCAGTCAAGCACTAGGGAATAAGAAGCCGTTATAGCCACAGATCTTTGCAGACAATATCTGTGGTTGCTTCTGAATTGTGTTAGCATATTTGTTCCCTGTTGTAAAACTGAGGAAAAGTGAAATACAAACACGAAGGAATGCTGGGCAGTGTTAGGTCAGGGACCCCAGTACCCCCGGACTACTATGTCTTGGCTATATGGAGTATAGTGTTTTTGGTTCTCAAAATTCCAGAGAATGCTTTCCCTTTGAAAGAGTGTTAATATGTGTTGATCATAAGTCTTCTGATTCATGATGTCATGTTTGGGGTTTGGCTCCCCTTCCTTGAGTAATAGATAAGGCTAATGGGCAGGTTAAATGACAACATGGAAAAACAGACTATATGTAACAGGGTGTAATGGTGGGAGGTCACATTTCAAAATGCCACCAAACTGTTCAAGGGTCACATTCAGATGTGGTAGAAGAGCCTCTTGAAGGCAAGAACTGCTCGCGTGCTCTCTGACGACACTCGTTCAGAATGTAGCCCGCCCTCAGGTCTGATCATGTTAACTGTGTGAGCCAGCTTGTTGCTAATCTGTCCATATCACTTGTGATACATAAAATGTATGTGTGTGTAGATATACTTTTCACCAGTTTGGAAGCTTATAATTAACAAGCACTAACTAATCTAATTTTTAAAAACTTTAAAAAGTAATAGAATTTTACAAATCGTTTATTTTTGAGATAATATACTTTACACTCTCTTTATCATATACCTGAAGGAATTAAGGCCCATAGAAACTTAGAAACAAAAACTCCTCTACAGTAAAACAAATAATTAGTGGTGGAATTGAAGCTAAAACCTAGGTTTTTCTATCTTTGTGTTCCTTTCACCCTGGAGTGCTGCAACTCTTCATAGACATCGGTTGTTAACGGTAGAAGACCATCAGCCAACTGATTGTGTTTTAGACTGTACAGTCACAGATTAGCCTGTAAAGTTGGCCAGTCCAATTCTGTCTCCAGTGTTTCTCCTGTATCTCATTATGTCTGTTCAGTTTGACGTTAAATAGCCAATACTCTGGTTTCTCTTCAGGTAATACAAGTCTTTCGCCTTTTAAATAGCTAAATAACTGACCGAATTCATGCCAGTGCTGGACAAGGGATAAACCAGTAATGAATCTATATACATATACCATAGTGAGTTTTAAGCAAATAATTGGTACAAGGGAGCATTCCTCCCTCTACTTCCAGGCTTTTACTTGGGAGGTTAAGGGTATACAAAAGGGAAGTTCTGTAATCTAGGAGAAAACTCACTACCCAGAGGGGGGGGAAAAAACAAATATGGCTTGAGAGATGAGATTATCTCTTTTGAAAGATTTAAAAATTGAGTGATATGTTCTCTTAGAGAAAGGAAGAAAATGCAGAGTCTGAAGGGCACTGGAAATCTGTTAGGGACAAAATGTTTTGGTGATAGGTATTTGAGAGAATGTATCCAAAGAGCCAGGTCTGTTTGGCCTGAAGGAGAACATCTAGTGACTTGGCCAGCAGTAGTGTAAGGACTGTAATTTGTAATCCAGATCAGAACCATTTCGAGAGTGAATGGTTTGCTCCTGATAATACACTGAGACAACAGATGTAAATCAGAGGGAAGGTACGGTTATCCTGGCCAAGAGCCTCTTAGTGAAAGAATGGGTAACTTGTACTTTCTCCTCAGATTTTCTAGTTTAACAGTGCCCCCTTCTGGTCACTTGGTTAATATGCCAGCCTGGGTTCACCAAAGACTTGGGTTGAAGTCAGAGGGAGTTGAGAAGTTTGGGAGGCTGGGCAACACTGAAGAGAGCAAGAAGCACATCTGGGGTTGGCCTAAGAAAAGGAATCAGTGGTGGTGCGGCCTGATGTGGGATGATTGGTTACTGGGAAACAGCATTCTATGCTATTTTCACTATCAGGAAATCTCACTTTGCCCTTGATGTACACTAATGACAAAAACAAAAATAAACAAACAGAAACAAAATTACTCTTAATTTTTGTATTTGATCCTTTATCTTTTAGGATCAAATAAACTGAGATCATAGCTACTCTGAACTTGTTTGGGAAAGATTAAAGTATATTAGTTACTTCATGGTCATTATTTCTAAAATGTAGGTGAGCGATTATACTACTCAGGTTTTGCTTTGCTTTGTTTTATAGATGAGGAAACTGAGGTTTAAAGAGGTTAAAAGTACAGAGGAAACAGGATGGTTGGCAGATGGTTATAACCCTTCTGACTTTTTAGACCATCATTTTATTTGTTTTTCATTGTATTGGTGTATTTATTTAAAAGTTTTATTACCTGTATTACAAAAGCAATATCATGCCTAATATTCTTAAAGTACCAAAAGGTATATGGAGAGAAATGTCTTCCTTTTACCACTGTCTCACAGCCACCTAGTATCCCTTTTAAGGGCAACCAGTTTTACCAATTTCTTTGGATAACTATGCAAATAGTGTCCATATCCTCCTACCCTTTTAATGGATGTGTCATGGTATAGTCGGTGTTCCGTTGAAATTTAGGTTGTTTCTAAACTTTTGCTATTACAAACAATGCTGCAGTGAATAACACACATTTTTACAAATTTATCTGTGAGATATATTCCTAGAGTTGGAATAGCTGGGCCAAAGGGTATAAGCATTTATCATTTGACCTTTGATGAAATATTGCCTAATTGCTCATCTTAAGTTGTATCAGTTTATATCAGCAAAGTATGATTTCTCAGTGTAAAAGCTACTTGCTTATGGATAAAGCTATCTAGAAATAAAAATCTGTACACTTCCTGAGAACCAGTTTCCTCCCCCTTGATTTGTTTTCTTGACTCACCAGACAGGAGAGAGAGGTATCGTATCCCCACTTTCAGTTTGTTATGTCTGATAAGACTTTGGCCCTTCTTTCCCAGAGTGATGTACGTGCTCCTACTCTTCCTGCTGCTACAGTGAAGTAGCTTTTCCTTTTTTCGCATAGTGGGAATCTTTTACTAGGACTGGTTAGATTTATCACTTGAAGCATGATGAACCATTATATCAATTTCATTCTCAGTGTATTTATTTGGATTTGGAATTAGTCTTGTGACCCAAGAGAACACTTCTGGCTTTTCGTTCATAGTCCACTACCACCAAAAGTAAATTGACAGTTATTTTCTCACTAATGGAGAGAAGAGAAAACCTCTAATATAAAGTCCTAAAATATTTATGTTTGATTTTCAAATCTTATGTAAACAGTATATCACCTTCTACTGAGAAAGTATAACACATGCTCACTATTGAGGAGAAATGCTTGGCCCTGACAGGTGTGACTCAGTTGGTTGAGCATCATTGAGCAAAATGAGAGGTCACCAGTTTGATTCCAGGTCAGGTCACATGCTTGGGTTGCAGGTCTGTTTCCCAGTTGGGGTGTATGTGAGAGGCAACTGATCGATGTTTCTCTCCCCGTCTTTCTCCCTCCCTTACCTTCTCTCTAAAAATAAGTAAAATCTTTTTTTTTTTTTTTTAAAAGGAGAAATGTTCGAAGGAATTCCATCTGTTATCCCAGAGCAGGGACTAAGAAGCAATAAATTGATAACTGGTACTTACCTTCCTTCTTTCTTAGTCTCACCTTTCTGGATCACTCCTTACCCTCTGGGCAATAGCAGGGAGGTTTATTTTCAAAGCAGAGCATTTAGTAATTAGTATTCAAGGCAGCTTGAAAAAGAGAGAGCGAGCAGCCAGATTATAGTATAACTATATTCTGTTTATATACAACTGAAGTTTAAACAGAAACTGAAGGAGAGGATTTTGAAGTTTTCAACTCACCTGTTATGTAACTCTTCCCTTTCACTTCTAAAATATCTTTTAAGAAAAAGCAATTGTGAAATCCACTTACCCGAACAGTTTGGTACAAGCACTCTAACAAAGAGAGTTAATGGGCATGAGGTCAAAAGAGTCTTTGTAGCTGACATCTGTGATGTTTTTCCTCGCAGTCCCCAAATTAGAGTGACTGTGCAGAGGACACCTCGAGAGAGGGGTATGCAAGGATGGAACAGTCACACAGTGCCATTTCCAGTTTGTCAAATATGGGATATTGAATCAGTGTATTTTTGCAATAAATTTTCTTTTGGATTTAGGTGAGCGACCTGTAAGAGTTTATGCAGATGGAATATTTGACTTATTTCATTCTGGTCATGCCCGGGCTCTGATGCAAGCGAAGAACCTTTTCCCTAATACATACCTCATCGTGGGAGGTAAGGAAACATCTTTTATCTTTATAACCTGAGTGTGTTGGCTCTTGTTTTGGCTTTTAAGTAAGGGATATAGTACAGCCTCTCTAAAACATGCTGTACAAACCTGGAAAGAGAGAAGTTCTAAGCCCTTTAACCTGAAATGCCCAGTGTTTATCTCACTGTTTTTAGTCTGCAGTCATGGGACACCCCTCTTGCCTATTTAAGAATGACATTGCCTCTGGTTTCCAATTTATCATTTTGAATCAGCTGAATTACAAAATTCAGCTTAACAAATGTTATATGGTACAGTCCAGTCTTATAAAAATAGGATATGAAAACATTTTTTAAAAGTTAATTGGTGCACTAATGTTTATTTCAAAGGCAAAGATGTTAGTCCTGTTGGAGCCTCTCTTCTCCAAAGTGCGAACATATTAGTTAGTGAGTGTTGCTCCTGAAGGTGTATTTTGGATTAGAAAAAGCATTGTTATCTGGATGTGCTACCTCCAAAAGATTTTTCTCCAGGTGGGGGGAATGGTTACAGTCCTAGGGAGAGGTTGGTGACTGAGGAGTGGCTAAGCAAAGAGGGCTTGGACTTACAACTTTCCGATACGGTGAACTCAGTTTGCAGCGATGAGCTAACGCACAACTTCAAAGGCTTCACCGTGATGAATGAGAACGAGCGCTACGATGCGGTGCAGCACTGCCGCTATGTGGACGAGGTGGTGCGGAACGCCCCCTGGACCCTGACACCGGAGTTCCTGGCCGAACACCGGGTAAGAAACTGAGTGCAGGTCCCCGGTCCCTGTTTCAGAATTTCTTCAACTCTCAGGGCTTTTGGCAGTTGGTAGCTTTCCATTCACCTTATTTTGCTTCCTATCACAGAATATTAACCCTGATTTGTTTATTTACTACATTTATTATCCCCCATAACAGTCCTGTTGGGCAATTATTATTTCTATTTTATATATGAGAACAAGGCCAGAGAGACCAAATAACCTGGTCCAGATCACTCTGTACCAGGTAGAAATTGAATGTGTCAGTTAGGTTCTCTGTCCCTGCTGCCATCACCAGACACTGTAGATGTCCATTTTCATAGCATATCAGTCTATTTTTTTCCTAGGTGACTATGAGGAAACTTTTATTAAAGCTGGGGACAGTAAAACAAGGAAGGGCTTAGCATAGAAGAAGCAACAGGAGAGCCTAGGCTGGGCTACCTTAGCTCACTAGGAAGCCAGACAAGAGGGGGCCTTGGAACAGGTTCAGAGAGTAAGCCTGGGACAAGCTGCCAGCTGTCCATTGCCTTAGAGCTAAGGAGACATGTGCCTGTGGGGAAAGAAGTGGTGGAAGAAGTGGGAGAAGAAGAAAGGAAAGTCAATGGCATGGGCTGCTCCCCAGAGGGAGAGAGAGTGCATGTGCTGGGACCAGTCTCTAGGACACACATAGCCTAGCCATGCTCTCGAGTTCACATCACAGGAAATCAGACAAGTGTAGACGTCTCTTGTGTTGACTCGAATTTCGTTTCAGGGCTTTGATTTTGGACTAGAAGTTGTATATAATCAGAAACAAGGGAGATTTTTCACTTTTGCTCACTGTTGGTATTATAAAGCCCCCTTACCTCTTTTTAATTCTCCTACATTAAAGCAACAGGTTATCTGTAAAAGATAGGCTAAAAAAATGAGAGGGATTTATCAGGTCAGGTTGGAGGACCTGCTTCTAGCTTCTAGCTTCTATGTGAATTCACATAGAGGAGATGATAGTGATGTTACTACATCGCTGGGATAGTCATCCCTGACATTTGGGGTTTGATGGTTTATAACCACTTCTACATTTATTATATTTTCATTTGCTCCCCATAACAGTCCTGTTGGGCATTTATTATTTCCATTTTATATATGAGAACAAGGCCAGAGAGACCAAATAGCTTGAGACCAAGGCTTGAGAAACCCGCAAGTATATATATCATCAGTTCTCTAGAGGGGTTGTATGGGAGGTTGAAAGTGAACTTGTTCAATGAATCAGGAAGGAACAGAGTTAGCCAGAGTGCTTCAAAAGCAATACTTTCAAAGCATAGGTCTGAAGCTAAGGGATATTTGTTATAACTATTTAGGGTTAGACACACGTTTTACAGTTCTCTAGCTTTTCTATGCCAACGTTTGGCAGCCAATGGTACCAAAGATGTAATGGGTGAGATTATTTTTAGTAACACAGGCAGGCAGGCTCAGGCAGAAGAGGTTAGAGGAACTTCAAATTTTGCTTTTCTCCTTGTTAGCAGTGTATCCTCAGCCACAAGTCTTGCTTGCCCACCCAAGTTTCATTTTGCTACCTATGGATTCCTGATAAGTTGTGTATGAGGAACTGGGACGTTAGCCGAGAGTCCCTGACACAGTCCCGATGAGTCTGCTTCACACTACTGTGGCCTCTGGGAGTTGGTTATGGTGGTATTAGCAGTCATGTTAGCAAAAGGTATATGGCTTCTTCAGGAAGGAGTAAATGAGTGAGGTTTTAGCATATTTCCCAGAAATATTATGGATCTTAGTGCCAGTGGTCTCTTCACTGTTGCGAGAGGTATTGACACTAGTAAAATGGTGGATCCTGGGACCTAAAGGTCTTTTATGGCTTTGGATTTTGCATTTCTTAGGAGTGTAGATGTATCTATTCAAGTTCAAGGGTCCTTGGTTCCATTTTTATATCCCCACTGATCTCTAGGACTGAGAGAGGAACCAGTTAACAAAGAAATGACTTATTTCTCATTATTTCAAAAACTCTCATTTGACAAATTCATATAGACCCAGGAGGATGAGGAGGTTTTCTTTCTTCTCTCCTTAGCTCCACCCACTACCCAACACACCCGGCCCAATTTTCCAAACACGGTGACTGGTATATAGTGTGAGGGTGGTGCCTCCAGTAGACCAGGAATATTTATGATCTGTAAATAATTAAGTGGCTTATGAGTGAAGCATGGAATTTATGAGCAAAGCAGAGAGATAAAGAGAAAATGTCCAGTTAGGAGTGGCCTTTCCTTTTTGTCCTTTTTCTAGGCCTAAGTATGTACTGGTTCTTTCTGAATGGCTGGTATCCTCGGTTTTAAATGACATTTCCTTATTTTCAGATCGATTTTGTAGCCCATGATGACATCCCTTACTCTTCTGCCGGAAGTGATGATGTTTATAAGCACATCAAGGAAGCAGGTGAGTAAGTTGATGTGCATTTTTAATTTATGAGTGAGTCTCAGGGGAAGTGACAGGTATCCATCCACATTACTACTTGACAGAGAAAAGTCTATACATTGAGAAATTCAACATCCACTTTCAGGACACACTTTGGATAACGGGTTAAGGTGAGCGTAGTACTGAAGTCCAGCCATTCTCTGTCTAAACTTCTACTATTGATATCTCTTTTAATTTCAGGAAACCTCTCTCTAACCCCATATTTTTCTTTTTTGTTTTATTTTCTTTTTTTGTAGAGAATAAAAGATTTTATTCACTCTCCAAGAAATGAGAGGGGCATGATGTGGAGAGATACACCAGCATTAAGGAGTTGGTGATTTGAGCTTTTATTGGATTATAATCAGATTAAAAATGGTGGGGGGTGTTGCTCTTGTTGTGGCCCTTGGGCTATTGGGGCCTTAAAACACCAGGGTGCAGTTTGTTCCAGTGTTATCTTCCACCTGTGGCTGTAGGGAGCGGTTAGTTCCATTCTTGCTTTCCAGTCATTTCTAGTCCTGGGGACAAGCTCAGAAGAGCGAAATGGCAGTCATGTTTAACAAGGTCACAGGCCTGCTCAGCAAATGGTGCCTTGATAGCAAATGGAACTGACTTTATCCTCTTATCCCCTTCTGGTTTAAAAATGGATTTCTTCTTCTTTTTTTTTTTTTCTTTTTTGGGAGTTCCTTTTTATTAAAGTATATTTTATTGATTATGCTATTATAGTTTTCTTAATTTTCCCCCTTTATCCTCCTCCACCCCCCCAACCTTCCAGCTTTCTTCCCCCCCTTAGTTCATGTCCATGGGTTGTACATATACGTTCTTTGAGTCCTCTGTTTCCTCTACCATTTTTTTGTCTCTCCTCGTCTATTTTATGCCTATCAATTATGTTTCTTCTTCCCTGTACCTTCCCCCCATTCCTCCCTTCCCCCTCCCCACTGAAATCCCTCCATGTGATGTCCATTTCTCTGATTCTGCTCCTGTCTAGTTGTTTGCTTAATTTTTGTTTTTTTCTTTCTTTTCTTTTGTTGTTTTAGGTTCTTTTATTAATAATTATGAGTTTGTTGTCATTTTACTGTTCATATTTTTTTATCTTCCTCTTCATAGATAAGTCTCTTTAACATTTCATGTAATAATGGCTTGGTGATGATGAACTCTTTGAACTTGACCTTATCTGGGAAGCACTTTATCTGCCCTTCCATTCTAAGTGATAGCTTTGTTGAATAGAGTAATCTTGGATGTAGGTCCTTGAATTTCATGACTGGAATACTTCTTTCCAGCCCCTTCTTGCCTGTAAGGTATCTTTTGAGAAGTCAGCGAATAGCCTTATGGGCACTCCTTAGTAGATAACTCTTTTCTTTCCTCTTGCTGCTTTTAAGATTCTCTCCTTATCTTTAATCTTGGGTAACTTGATGATGTACCTTGGTGTGTTCCTCTTTGGGTCCAACTTCTTTGGGTCTGTCTGGGTTTCCTGGGCTTCCTGGAAGTCTATTTCTTTCTCCAGAGTGGTGAAGTTTTCTTTCATTATTTGTTCAAATAAGTTTTCAATTTCTTGCTGTTGCTCTCCTTCTGGCACCCCTATAATTTGGATATTGGAAAGTTTCAAGTTGTCAAAAAGGTTCAAAGTCTCTCTTCATTGTTTCAATTCTTGTTTCTTCATTCTGTTCTGGTTGGATGTCATTTCTTCCTTTTGTTCCAAACTGTTGATTTGAATCCTGGTTTCCTTCCTGTCACTGTTGGTTCCCCTGAGTATTTTGCTTGATTTCATTTTGGGTATCTTTCACTTGTTTTTTCATTTTTCAACCAAGCTCAATCAGATCTGTGAGCATTTTTATTACCAGGGCTTTAAATTCTCCATCAGTTAAGTTGATTATCTCCTCCTGGCTTAGCTCTCTTTTTGAGGTTTTGATGTGTTCTTTCATTTTGGCCCTATTTCTTTGTTTGGGGTCCCTGATAAGTTGGTGGACTGTGGGGGTGGGGCCTTGGGTAGTCACCAGGGCAGGCAACCCTCTTTGTTGTGCTGCGGAGCTGCCTGTGGGGGAGGGGCCAGAGAGGGAACAGTGCAGCTCACCTGCTGTCTCTAGCCCACTTTTCAATGAACTCTCAGGTGAGACTGGGAGTTTCTCCCACTGCGGCAACTGCCATAGTCCACAGCCACCTCTGAGTCTCAGTTTCCCCTTAAGTCTGCCCCTCCTGCGCAGCCTGCTGCCTCACTGCAGGCAGCCCCGCCCCCATGCTCTGTCGACTCACTGCAGTTTCTCTCCATCTGCCGCCTTATCAGTCAGGTTGTTCTGTTTGACTGTTTCTTTAATTCTGTGGTTGTTGGAGTTCCATGCAGTTTGATATTCTGGCACTTCTAGTTGCTTATTGATTTTAGATTGGTTGTTATCCTCTGTTTGGTTGTGCAAGGAAGCAAAGGGTTTCTACCTATGCCTTCCTTAATCTTGGCCAGAACTCCTCCCAAGAAAATGAATTTATTTTTAATGTCCTTGCCCAGCTCTGGTTTTGGGGAGTAGGGATGAAGGTCTCATCATCTGTAACTACTTCAGGCAGTCTAGGTTTGTAGAGCTGTCCCTGCCTGTGGGTCCAGGTATGGGTCATTAAAGACAAGAGGGTGGAATTGGACAGCCCACAAAGCAAGAGCTGTGGCTGGTGGCCATTTATGGAAGATCTTTCAGAGCCAGGATGCCCTGTTGAATAAAGGATAGGAGATATGTGTGGAGACGGCCTCAAAATAAGAATAAAGAAAAAGGCTGCTGTAGGTCCCAGGAGGGGAATTAGTCAGGAAAGCCAACACCAGATATTGAACTTAAAATCCCAGAAAGGGAGAGGCAGAGTAGTAGGTGAATTTTGTATGGCTCACCCTACATCAGTAGCAGTTATCAATAATTCCAAGTCAAGGGCTGAAAGAAAAAAATGAAACATTAGCTTGGAAGAAAACTAGGATTCTGTCAGTTTGTGCGTGACAACTGGGCCTTGTTATTTCCATTAAAACACAATTGCTCTCTAAAATCAACCACATTTTATTAAAGAGACTGTATATAAATTTAGTTTCAATGTGGCCTGATTATTTGCAAGAACAGCAATTAATTACATAGGCTTTTTCATATCTGCTTTGCTGAAATTTCTACAAGGAACCTTCAGATTGAATTTTAGTCAGTCTTTCAGGGCAAAGAAGCCAAGCCACACATTTGCCATCTGGCTTTGTCTGGACTACCTATTAGTTTGAGCAGATTCCTCGAGTTCTGGTTCCTTCTTTGCCATCTTTCAGGAAAGCGACCTAGGCTCCTTACCTGGAAGGACTTCCATGAACCATGTGACCAAGTAAGGTACCAGACCGTTTCTCAATAGGCTCTTATTGGCTTCAAAAGTCTATTTTAATTTTTTTAAAGTATGATTTATTGATTATGCTATTATACTTGTCCCATTTTTTCCTCCCCTTTATCCACCTCCACCCTGTACCACCTCTCCCACCAGCATTCCCCCATCTTAGTTCATGTCCATGGGTCCTACATATAGTTTTTTGGCATCTTGTCTTTCATGAATCTGAATACTTCTTTCCAGTCCCTTTTTGCCTGTACAGTTTCTTTTGAGAAATCAGCTGATAGTCTTATGGGAACTCCTTTGTAGATAACTGTCCCCTTTTCTCTTGCTGCTTTTAAGATTCTCTCTTTATCTTTTTTTTTAATATATTTTTTTATTTTATTGATTATGCCATTACATTTGTTCTATTCCCCCCTGTTCCCCTCCACCCTGCACACCCCTCCCCCACCATTCCCCCCCTTAGTTCATGAACATGTGTCTCGAGTTCTTTAGATTCTATATTTCCCCTGCTATTCTTACCCTTCCCCCTATCTATTTTCTATCTACTGTCTATGCTACTTATTTTCTGTACCTTCTCCTTCTCCCACTCCCCTGTTGCTAACCCTCCATGAGATCTTCATTTCTATGGTTCTGCTCCTGATCTAGCTGTCCTCTTAATTTGCTTTTGTTTTAGGTGTGGTTGTTGATAACTGTGAGTTTGCTGTCCTTTCCCTGTTCATCTTTTTTATCTTCTTTTTCTTAGGTAAGTCCCTTTAACATTTCATATAATAAGGGCTTGGTGATGATGAACTCCTTTAATTTGATCCTATCTGAGAAGCACTTTATCTGCCCTTCCATTCTAAATGAAAACTTTGCTGGATAGAGCAATCTTGGTTATAGGTCTTTGGATTTCATGACTTGGAATACTTCTTTCCAGCCCCTTCTTGCCTGTAAGTTCTCTTTTGAGAAGTCCACTGACAGTTTGATGGGCACTCCTTTGTAGGTGATTGTCCCCTTATCTCTTGCTGCTTCTAGGATTCTCTCCTTCATTTTAATCTTGGCTAATGTAATTACGATGTGTCTTGGTGTGTTCCTTCTTGGGTCCAACTTCTTTGGGACTCTCTGAACTTCCTGGATTTCCTGGAAGTCTATTTCCTTTGCCAGATTGGGGAAATTCTCCTTTATTATTTGTTCAAATAAGGTTTCCACTCATGACTGTTCCTCTTCCCCTTCTGGTACTCCTATAATTCGGATGTTGGAGCGTTTAAAGATGTCCTGGAGGTTCCTAAGCCTCTCCTAATTTTTTTGAATTCTTGTTTCTTCATATTTTTCTGTTTGGTCATTTTTTTCCTTCCTTCAGGTCTGCTCCCTTGATTTGAGTCCCAGTTTTCTTTCCATTAGTATTGGTTTCCTGTGCATTACTATTCATTTCAATTAGTTTAGCCTTCATATGTTCCTCTAATTTGTGACTAAAATCAACCAGTTCTGTGAGCATCCTGATCACCAGTGTTTTGAACTGTGCATCTGAAAGTTTGGCTATTTCTTCATAGCTTAGATTTATTGGCTCTGGGGCTCTGAGTTGTTCTTGAGCCATGTTTTGCTCTGTTTGTGCCTATTACATATTAGGAGAGGAGCCTTAGGTGTTCACCAGGGCGGGACCACCCAGGTCACTGGTTTGTGATGCTATATGTGGGAGTGGGGTCAGAGAGGGAGCAATGGCGGTCCTCTCCAATTGCCCAGTGCCCCTCACTGCTCGCCCCCGCCTGTTTATCTGAGCACAAATGTGCGAGCCCACCACCCTGCGAGATCTGTCTCAATGCTCGCCTCTTCATTGGTTTATCTGAGCGCAAATTCGAGGCTGACCGAAGACAGCCAGCCACTCCTCTTCCCTGGGCCCGCCCGTAGCTAGCCCGCACCTGCGATCCGCGCCCTCAGCTGCCTGCGCACTGCCCGGGTGGGGGGATCTTTTTTGCCCGACCCACTCCACTGCTGGCTTCACCCCTCTCACTGGTTTAGCTGAGCTGTTCGTTGTTTTCAGACTCTGTATTGTTCGATTTTCTGTGTGGTTTGGTTGCATTTATTGTTGTTAAAACTTTGTTATTTTTAGATTTGGTTGTGTGAGGACGCAAAGTGTTTCCACCTACACCTCCATCTTGGCAGAAGTCCTCTCTTTATCTTTAATCTTGGATAATGTAATTATGATGTGTGTTGGTGTGTGCTTCCTTGAGTCCAACTTCTTGAGCTTCCTGGACTTCCTAGAAGTCTATTTCCTTTACCAGATTGGGGATGTTCTCCTTTATTATGTTTTCAAATAAGCTTTAAATTTCTTGCTCTTCCTCTTCTCCTTCTGGTACCCCTATGATTCAGATGTTGGAACATTTAAAGTTGTCCTGGAGGTTCCTAAGCCTCTCCTCATTTTTTAAAATTCTTGTTTCTTCTGTTCTGATTGACTGTTTATTTCTTCCTTCTCGTCCAAAACATTGATTTGAGTCCTTCCCATCACTGTTGGTTCCCTGTACATTTTTCTTTATTTCACTTTTCATAGCCTTCATATTTTTCTCTATTTTGTGACCATACTCTACCAATTCTGTGAACATCCTGATTATCAGTGTTTTGAACTGTGAATCTGATAGACTGGCTATCTCTTCGTTGCTTAGTTCTATTTTTTTCTGGATCTTTGATCTGTTCTTTCATTTGGGCCTTTTTTTTTTTTTTTTTGTCTCCACGCGCCTATTACATAGTAAGGGGTGGAGGCTTAGGTCTCACTGCATTGTGAGACTGTATGTGGAGGAGGGGTTTGAGAGGGAACAATGCAGTTTGTTCAGCTCTCTGCCAGCTTTCTGCTGGTACCCACAAGCAAATTGGGCCCTTTTGGTGCTGATTCCCAGTTGGGTGGTTTTGTGTACATTCTAGGACTCTGTGGGTCTCTCCAACAAACTGTCCTTTGAGGCTTTATTTCCCCTTACTGGAACCCTGGGTTGCACGGTCTATCTCACTTCCCAGTTGTTCCTCCCAGTTTATCTGCATGCAAATGTGGGACCACCCACTCTGCCAGCTGCCACCTCGCCTGCCCCAGTTCTCTAGCCACCAGCTTGCCATGTGTCCTCTCCACCCAACTGCCCATTCTTCCCCTCCTACCAGCCTGGATGGATGTTTTTTCCTTAATTTCTTGGTTGTCGGACTTCTGTACAGTTCAGTTTTCTGTTAGTTCTGCTTGATTTTTGTTTTAAAATTTGTTGTTTTTCTTTTGGTTGTGTGAGGACACACAGTGTATCTACCTGTGCCTCCATCTTGGCCGGAAGTTGGATCTGTTTTTTCATTTGGGCCACATTTCTTTGTCCCCACTCACCTGTTATGGTATAAAGGGTGGAGCCTTAGATATTCACCAGGGTGAGGCAACCCACATGGCTGAGTTTTGGAGCTGTATATAGGGGCAGGGGTTAGAGAGGGAACAATGCCCCTTGCTCAGCTCTCGGTTGGCTTTCAGTCACTTCCCCTACTACCTACGAGCATATTGAGTCCTTCTGGTGCTGATTCCTGGGTGGGTAGGTTTGTATATGTTTTAGGTCCCCATGGGTTTCTCCAACAAACTCTCCTCTGTTACTGGGAGTTTCTTCTGCTGCCACAACCCTTCAGGTTTTTACAGTCGAAGGTTTCGAGGCTTTCTTTTCCCTCACTGGAATCCTGGGTTGTTCAGTCTGTCTTGCTCCCCAGTTGTTCCTCCCAGTTGATCCTCACACAAATGTGGGACCACCCAGTTTTCCAGCTGCTGCCTTGTCACACGTCCTCTCCACCCCTCCTACCAGTCTGAATGAATGTTTCTTCCTTACCTCCTTGGTTCTCAGACTTCCATACAATTCGATTTTCTAGCAATTCTGGTTGTTTTTTGTTTTTAAATTTGTTGTTGTTCTTCTTTTGGTTGTGCAAGGAGGCACAGACTATCTACCTATGCCTCCATTTTGGCCAGAAGTCATCAATCTTAATTCCTTGAGGTTTTCTGGTGACATCCAGAGTCCAGACATGACTCTTTTGATTATGACACTCCAGACAAAGACTTGGTTAATAAAGGCACATTTGGAAACTGGTGCTATTAAAGAGAACAGATTCTTATTGGGTTTATGCAAACAACCACATTGCCATAAAAATAATACTTATTAAGAGTTACTGAATTCTGGAGGGATTTAGGTAATCCCTCCAGAAAAATGGAGGGAGAAAAAAACCAATGTTTCAATATTGGTTATATGGGTATAATTTACCAATTGTTCTGGGGAAAAAAGTTTCCTTACATCTGGAAAACAAAAATATTTAAAATTAGCAATATTTTGAACAAGTTCATATGAATAACAATTACCTTTAGTTCATTTAGTCGCATATAACCAATATTCTTTGTCTTGATGATTTGCTAGTATGTCCATGAATTTAGTGATTCTAAGCATTCTATAAATCTTTATTTATTTCAAAGATATGACCTACTTAGATACCTGTAATTTAGAGTAAGTTAGAGTCCTTTTCATGAACCTGTTTAAACATACGTTTGTAAATTCAATACAGCAAAACAGTGACTATTTATAAATGACCAAATTTAAAATGACATAGTTGTAGATTTGATTAAAATGCAGTTGATAAAGAACTTTGCTTTTTTTGCCCTGGCTGGTGTAGCTCAGTGGGTTGAGCGCGGGCCTGCGAACCAGACAATCGAGGTTCGATTCCCAGTCAGGGCACATACCCGGGTTGCAGGCCGGTTCCCTGCAGGCCAGTTCCCAGCAGGGGATGTATGAAAGGCAACCATACATTGATGTTTCTCTCCCTCTCTCCTTCCCTTCCCCTCTAAAGATAAATAAATAAAAATCTTTAAAAAAAAAAAAAAGAACTTTGCTTTTCTGTACAGCATAATATTTCAGGATGAAAATTTCTTGATAAATAACATTTTGCTTATGATATAAAAGGATAATATAAAGCTCATGTTTTTAGACTTAACATACAGTCTTAATAAAGACCAACATTAGAAAGGTACGAGAGATAAAGGCAGGAGGAGCCAGATGATCTGACCCAAGTGCCTATATTTGATGCTGCGCTTACAGGAGGGCTGAGACTGGATCGCCTGCAGCCACAGCAGGGAGGCAAGAATGGAGACCCCATATTTTTCTTAATATTAGGACCATATAGCTCCTCCTTTCCTTAACCTCTGTTCTTTGATTCATTTCTCTTTCTATGTGTCAATATCTCCAGATTTCCCTTAATAACAGCAGATTCTGCTTTTCAAGGAAAGGAATGTTGTTCCCAGTTTCCATCTGGTCCTACTGCCTGAGCTAACCAGAATGTTACAGTGTTTATATGTGTTTTGGCTTTAGGCATGTTTGCTCCAACACAAAGGACAGAAGGTATCTCCACATCAGACATCATCACCCGCATTGTCCGGGACTATGATGTGTATGCCAGACGGAACCTACAGAGGGGCTACACGGCAAAGGAGCTCAATGTCAGCTTTATCAACGTGAGTTCCAACTTCATCCGAGAGTTCCTTGGCCCTATAAAGACATACATTGCCTACTCCTTCATCTGAGCTAAGCTTGCTTTTCAGTCTGCTATAATTATCTCCTGCAAAAGCTCAATGAATCATCTTTGCAGATAACACTATTCCAAGCTCTTTACAAGTAGAATGAAACAGAGGCATTTTCTGTCTTTATGGTATGGTATCAACACATTGATAAAAAGACTCGCAGCTAATTAAATAAATAAGAATGTGTAACTTACAAAGTACAATATATATATTAAATACAATTAAAAGAGTGGTTCTTAGCCTTTTTGTTTTTTGATTTGATGGGTCTTTTGAAAATCTATTGAAAGCTGTGGACCCCTTGCCTGTGTGGATAGCAACACACATTTTGCATGCAATTTCTAAGGCCATAAAAACCTAAATTTTACATTTTGATTTATGAAGGCCAGTTTTTCTTTAGGTAAATATTGCCCTTTAGAAACAAACTGCTATATATTTTGTATATAAATTATACCTATATAAAGTTTATTTTAAAAGAAACTGCTAACTATATCTTCTGCATTAGTAGTTTACCATACTTCCTTATCTGTACCTCACTGTGAATTATGAATGGGGGAAACGGTTTCATCTGAATATGATTTATGTCTGGAGATAAATCCTAGCTGTTGTTAACCACCTAGTAAATAACTTTTTATCTATTTTCAGGTGTTTAAATTTTTTTTAAGATTTTATTATTTTTTTTTTTGAAAGGGGAAGGGAGGGAGAAAGAGAGGGAGAGAAACATCAGTGTGTGGTTGCCTCTCACACGCCCCCATTGGGGACCTGGCCTGCAACCCAGGCATGTGCCCTGATGGGAATCGGAACAGTGAGTGACCCTTTGGTTCACAGCCCGCGCTCAATCCACTGAGCTATGCCATCCAGGACAGGTATTTAAATTTTTCAAACATAGTTCCTTACCCCTTTATTATTGAGAAATTAATGAGAATACTTTTCATTTGACTAAAGACGCTCCTTCCGCCCCCATGTCCAGAGAAGTCCCGTCGTTTTCTCTTCTCTTCAGGGAAGCTGGTAGGACCAAGCACATCATCTTTATTTTGCGAAAGAGCAAACAGACCTCCAAATACCAAAAATAACTCTTTAAAAAATCATAGAATAAGCTAGTGATAGAGGAGAAAAATCCAATACAATAAATGAAGTAAGTAAAAGATCTACTACTTCCACTTTCAGCCTGTTGTTATAACTGACTTATTCTTGGCAATATTTTGTGCAGTGGTCTTCTTGCTCCCTTCACATCTCTGTCTAGAATGGGGTTTGGATTATGTTTGGCATGTTTATGTTCTAAGTTCATATTTTTTCTTTAAAAGTTTGACTTCATTTTCTTACATATATGTTACCAGGCCTACCCTATGTATTTAGATTAGTCATGTTTCCAAAATGTTAAAATTATCACACTTTTATATAAGATGGCCATCCAGAGCATCTCTTCTCTGTTATTATGCTAGAGAAGTTTGGGCTAGATTAAGCAAAGTGAAATTGTAAAGACTAAAAAGTGTTCATAGAGCCCTGGCTGGTGTGGCTCAGCAGATTGAGTGCCAACCTGGGAACCAAAGCGTCAGCGGTTTGATTCCCAGTCAGGGCACATGGCTGTGTTGCAGGCTAGGTCCCCAGTAGGGGGCTCACGAGAAGCAACCACACACGGATGTTTTTCTCCCTCTCAAAAATAAATAAATGAAATCTTAAAAAACAAGTGTCAATAGAGTGCTGAACCATGTTTCTTTGCCCCCTTTGGTATGAAAGGTCTGGGTAGGTATTACTTCTCAAAACAACTCTTTCTTTACCTAGGAGAAGAAATACCACTTGCAGGAACGGGTTGACAAAGTAAAGAAGAAAGTGAAAGATGTGGAAGAAAAGTCAAAAGAATTTGTTCAGAAGGTAGAGGAAAAAAGCATTGATCTCATTCAGAAATGGGAAGAGAAATCCCGAGAATTCATTGGAAATTTCCTGGAAATGTTTGGTCCAGAAGGAGCACTGGTACGTTCTTTCTTGCTGGATAATTTAGGGAATTCTCATGCTGTGGAAAGAATAATAGCATCCTTGGCCAGAAAGGGACATGGACATTCAGAAGTTATCTAATCTTTTCCCCTTACTGAGCAGAACTATATTTCAACCGTTCCCAAAAACTTCTTTGAAATCTTTCCCGAAAGAGTTACATACTCTCCTAAATAATTTTGCCAGCTCTCTATCAATGTCCAAATCAGGTGACAAAATAAGAGAGTAGCCCTGCCCACTTGTACACTATAGTTTTAGACAGAAGGAAAGAACAGAACAGTAAAAAGAAAGCTGCACTCCACTACAAACAGCTTCTTCTATATTGCTGGGTGAGGTGGGAATTCTGTCCTTCAGGAGTAGCAAGTTCTCAAGCCAGATAGAGGAGGGGTATATATATATATATATAGCCATTCAGCAGGTGAGCCCTAGGTTAGATATTTGGAAGGACCTGACTGTGAAGGTGTTTGGATACGAGAATAGATTATTCAGGGAAAATATGAATTCCCTTTTCAGAGAACTCTGAAATGCAGAGAGGTACCCTTTTGTGTGAATTAGTTCCTTTGTTCTTGCCTGGAGCCTGGACTATAAGCCAAGTCGGCCTTCAGGAATTCCCTTGACCTAGAAGTAGGATCAGGTGGCTGGAGAACAGGTAGGAACCTTTAGATAAGTCACAACGTAGACCACGTTAGGGAGAAAATGACTTAGAATTTTAGCTATGTCCCTCGTCTGGCTTACTTGCATAAGGCACTTGTGATAATTTGAAGGCTCGGCATGCCAGCAGTGATTTAGTAGGATCCATAGGTTTCTTCTAACTCTTCCTTTGGTCTCTACAGAAACATATGCTGAAAGAAGGGAAAGGCCGGATGCTGCAGGCCATCAGTCCAAAGCAGAGTCCCAGCAGCAGCCCTACTCGTGAACGCTCCCCCTCGCCCTCTTTCCGATGGCCCTTCTCTGGCAAGACTTCCCCTCCTTCCTCCCCAGCAAACCTCTCCAGGCACAAGGCTGCAGCCTATGATATCAGTGAGGATGAAGAAGACTAATTTTTCATCCCTCCTTTCCTTTCCCCTCCCCATGTCCCATCACCTTCAGAAGCTCTCTGTTGAATTCCAAATTGTGGTCCCAACAATAAACCTAAAGACAGTTGCAAAGGAAAGAAATTGGGGCAAGAGGACCTCAGATGGGGGGAGCAAACAGCCCACCCACCAAGAGACATTACCCACCCACACCGAGAAGGAGGCTGACTACACTTTAGAAGCCTGTTCTGCATCCATGTACCCTTCCCACGGACTTTGCTTTACTGTTTATGTTCATGTGATCTTGACAGGGAAATTGTCATTTTATTAATTTTTTAAAAAATCAGTCTTTCAACTACAATTAATAGAACTAATTCTTTTGCCCCTGAGGAGTGGGCAGAAGGAAGTGGTATAATACCCAGAGGCCTTTCTTTCCTGATACACTGTAGGGTTTGCCTTCTGTTCTGAGGCTGGCCAAGTCTTTTAAGCAGTGGCCATGCTGATGAGTGACTTTGGGGCAGGCAGGGGTTGAGGGATATAGTTTTGGTTTCTTTACAAGGAAATACTAAAAGCCAGGTAATAGTCACAAATCCCCTAACGGTGTTGCTGGCACATATGCCGGTGTGGCTGTGAGAAGGAGGAGAGCTGAGCCTAACTGTTCTTACTCCCTGAGGAATTTCTTGATGGACCCAGTGGGGTCCCTGAAGACACTGATGGCATCAGTCATGGCTTTTCTGCTGTGTTCATCTCAGAAAATTCTGTTGCTCGGTTATTTGGGAGCTCTTGTTGATCTCTTTCCTGTAATCTACTGTTAAAGGAAGGAACACTTTCAGGTTTACTGTGATTGTGGAGGGGAGTGGGGCAATACTCAATCCTACACAGTCATTTCAGATTCCTTTTCCCCCTGGAGCAAGTCCCTGGTCCTGCTGCTCCTGTTTCTATGCTCATACAAAGCTTTATACAAAGGGTGCTTTGTAAATGTCTGCAATTTCAACACGATCTGTTAATCCACGTTGCTCACATCACGTTGAATATTTAGAGAGATTTGCAAAGAGCATAGATGCAAAGTCATAAAGGAACATCCACCTTCCTATCTTGACCTCTGCCCCTCTTAATGTTCTTGACTCGAACCAGTGCTCCACAGGGTTTGTTTTCCTCTGAGAGTGGCAGCTGTCAGGGACTTATTTCCCTCCGCTGCCCCTTCCAGCAAGCCAGAGAAGGGTTCCCATTACAAGGATATGGTAAGCTCTCTCCCTCTCTTCCACATGTGCCTGGTGGTTATGGCCTCACCTCTCCTGTTAGGTTCCCTGGGGGGGAATGCATCACTTAAATTTCACATCAGAGAATGCTAAAGCTTAACGCTTTTTGTTGGGCTTGAGCTCATTTTAAACCTCCAGTATCCTACAGCTACATGACTTAGCAGATCATTGTCCATTAGTAACCCTGTAGCTGGGTTTAGGGGAAGACTGCTTCTGTCCAGGCCCCACCCCGTCACTCATAAATACCCCTTGTGGGGGTGGAGTTTTAGTGTTTTCAGCTAAGAAAACCACATTTTATCTTGCCCGTGCTAGGGCTGTGAGTATCTCATAGTCATTCTCCTTAACACTTCCTGGTAACACCTGCCTGCCCGCACACTGGACTACCTAGGTTCCCAAAACCTAGGATCACCCAGAGGCAGAGCGTGGCAGAGTAGAGGGACACAGAGGAGAACCTCTTGTCCTGATGGCCTGTGAAAACTACATTTGTATCTCATGAAGTGCTACTTTTACTATCAAATCTGGTTTACATGAGCTTTGGCTTGGCATCCTTTTTTTTGAAACAGGTGAAGTTGACATTTGCCTACACTGCCCAGCTTCATATGATCACGTTTTAACTTTTCTGCTTTAATCTCCTTCTTTGGGAATTTCGCCTGTTTCTTTCTTATTTTCCCTGGTACAGAAAGGCAGTGAAGTCACCTCTGAAGCCCACCTACTCGTTCCCTCCAGGTACTCATTATGCTGTATATTTTGGTTCGCAGGCCTGCGCTCAATCCACTGAGCTACACCAGCCAGGGCATATGCTGTATATTTTGAAAGGGAGATGCCCAGAAGGTGGTTTTCCTCCCTGTAGTCACTCCTCTCTAGGATATTGTCTGGGTCTCCGAGCTGTGGGCCCTCCTCCTCTGCCCTGTCAATGGGCGGCCTGGCCCTTGGAGTGTGACTCTAGGCTGAAACCCCCGTGAGACTGCTAGTGCCGGCTCGTGCACACATTCTTGGAACACTCCTTTGCCCCTTTTGCTTGGTGAGCCTCTACAGCCTCAGTCTCTTAACACTAGTATATTCCAGTAATTTTGACTGAAAGCAAAAATTTTTATGGCACGGCATGTTAGCTACTATGGGATGAATGAGATCCTAGGTGCTGGATAAGGATGGGCGGATGGCGGAAGCTGTTGGGATGATGCATTGTTTGATCACTTGTGCCTAATTAAATGGGGTTAGTGGTTTGCATACCACAGCCATACCTGTGACTTACAAAGCTAATACAATATTTGAGGTTGTGGAGCTATTTCTCTGAATGCCACACACAAAACTGTCAGCTTAAATAGGCCAAATGTGGCAGAGATGGTAGATCTTTAAATTCTGGTTGGCCCCACTGTGCAAGACGGAAGGAGAGTGGAGAAGGAAGCCCTATCACTGGTGCCAAGGAGGTGCTGTTTCAGCAGTTCCCTGGAGATGCGATGAGCAGGAAGTTTGATTTTTTCATATACTAGGCTCAGGAGCACTGAAAAATAGAGCTTGAAACTTTAGAGGAATAGAAATGGATCATTTTGCTGCTACAACTGCTTCTCATGGCTCCCGTCAAAGACCGTTATTTTATTGAGACTTGGGTAAGAAGTTTGTGTGTGAGGAGGCTGAAAATCCTGAAGAAGAAAAAATATATGAGTGAGGGCAGAACTTTTGACCTTTTCTGATCACTGATAACCTTTGGGGCAGCACCTGAGTTACACCTTTAAAATTTTCCTTGTGACTGCACGGCTGGTTGGGTGGTCTCTGGGCACTCCCGCATTCAGATCTTCACAGCACTCTTACTCTTCTTCATTAGTTTGATCTGTGGGTAACTTGTGATTTTCCTGGAGCTTATTGCCTAATCCTGCTCTAGATCTCATATTTAAAATCTTTCCAAGTCAGTTATACTTTGCTGATTTTCTTTAATTCCCTAAAAGCCATAGCTTCTACATTTTCTGTCAGCATACACTCTTACCAGAAGTTGAACCAATACATGCAGAAAAAAAAAAAAAACCTCCCTTAACAATATTTTTTAACTGATGGTATTTTTTAAGCTTACCAATATAAGTATTTTTGAAGGTTATATATTTTCAAATCATACAATGATTATTCTTGTTTTCTCATGTAGAATAGATTGTCATGAGGTAGAGAGTGCTCCCTAACTTCTATTTATCCAAATAAGTAGAGCATGTTCTCAGGATTATACTATTAAATGCTAATTTTCTTTAAAAGAAGAAAGATTTTTCTGTCTGCCAAACTTTGTACTCAAATTGGGGTAGAAAGGTATGAGGCTTATTAACATTAAGGATTACTCAGGTCGTGGTCCTTTAGGTTTGAAGTATGATTTCCCACCCTCTTTTAGAGGCAATGACTGTTTGGAACACAGAGACTTGATTGGTAGGATTTTTTTTTTTTTTTAATTGAGGAACCTGAAAAAAAAAACAGCCTTGTAAAGAAATGCTGGCCTCGGCACAAAAGTCAACCCCATCACCAGAGCGGACATCCACAGGAATGTTTTCCTCAACTGGTGTTCAGTGTATTGTTTCCTGTCTGAGTGTTATTAACTTGTTCAGAATTATTTTGGCTTTTGTCATTTAGCCAAATAAAAGCAAAGTGGTTTTACCTAATGTTTTTCTGTGTTTTGATCTGATATACATGTATATGATACATTTATGTATTGGGGTCTTTTTCCTGCACTCAATTCATTTGCTTTTGCACTCTGATGTATTTTCTCAGAGTCAAGCTCCATGACCACACTATTGAGGATTCCTTTTTCAGTCTGGCACAGAAGGTTTAAAAAGCCATTGTCCCCCAAACCGGAGGCTGACCTGGATCTCCCAAGTCTAATGTTATCTGTAAGGAAAAGAACACCTTTGATCTATTCTTCAAAAGCCTGGTTCTTTCAAGATTTTGGGCTTGTACTATTTTGCCTGAGTTCTACTCTCATTCTCATACCAGACAAACTACCATATACTCTTCCCTCTTTCGCTTCGAGAAAACTCAAAGCGACCTTTCAATATACAAGCTTTAAGGGTTGATAGTGACACCCACAAGGGTAATGTGCCCAGTTATACAGTTTCAAACTCCATCCTGTTTGTCTATTATAAAACTTGTTACCTTTCCCAGGAAAGATCGAAAACAATTTCATCCTATTGCATAATTCACTTTCATCTCTATAGTCAAATGTAATTTGCCAGTTTGTGCTGACAATGGAATCTTTCCCATTTGGTCAATGTTGAGGGACAGTAAAGAAATCGTGTGCCCATCTCATGAGTACAGTGTCTCTTTCATAGTCCAAGCCATTTCACCTCAGGCTTTGATGTTCGAATCCAGGTCTGGAGAAGAGAAAGGTTCATATCCAACCTTGCTGTCTTTCCTTCTGTAGTATATTCGTGTCAGCACAGTTAGCAGAAAAGTCTCCAGTACAAGGAGGTGGCAATTCATCACTGCAGTGTGGGGTGAAATACAGTGTAAGTTATACTGGATTATAGACTTGGTATCCCAACAGCAGCCCTGGCCTCAGTTGGACATTTTCTGTAATTTATCCTCAAACCAGGACCTAGAGTCCAGGTAACATAGCAGGTTCATGGTAGAGCCAAAACCAGAACTTGGCTCTCAACCTGCAATCTGAGGCTAACATTAAACCTCATTTCTTTTGTGCATTTTATCTCCTTTCTAACCACACCCATTTCTCTCCCAAGAGCTAAGAATCAAACCCATGGCCAACAAGGCTGACCTCAAGCTGTGGAATCACAGCTCTCTTCTGTGTGATCGGAAAAGTCCTAGTCTCCTTAATTCTCTGCTGGGATTCTTGAGGGTCCTTTTTTGAGTATTTGGAGCAGCTGGCTGCCTGGCCCAACCTCTGTTTTAAGATCTCCTCTCTGACCTTTCCGTGACCCTCCCCCTCTCACTCATCCTGGAATGAGATAAGAGCTTTTATGCGCTCACCTTGAGACCTGATTTTAGAGGAAAGAGGAGGTGAACAAGCAATCTGCCCGCCATTGGCCAAGACTGAGAAGATGGACGGCTGCAGGGCAGTCATGATGAGCAGCACCTGCAGAAGGAAGACAAGCGAGGGCAGGGCGGGCCCAGGTGCAAGGCGCCGAGGCCAGCTGGTCCACTGCCACGCTCGTCCTGCCGCAGGGGACGAGTGGCCACCTCTAGACCTGTGTGCGGTTGCAGAGGGGCTGAGATTCACACTTGATTAAAATTTGGTGGAGTTTCTAATCTTTCGGAAAATTGTAACCTCATCTTCAACCAATATTTTATGAGAGCTCCTGACAAGAAACAATAAGAACTGATTGGAGGTTCAAGTTTATTCCCCTATTTCAGTCACGGCTGCTAAGGAGCCCTTAATGGATAAAAAAGGTGGGTGATTAGGGAAGAGTCAGTCCATCTACCTCAAGTATCAGATCCCTGCTGATAGGATGATGAACAATTAACCACTGAAGTGCCCTCTGAAGAATCTTCACCTCCAGGGCTGAAGGTGAATGGAAAAAGGGGAATTAGTGTTCCATGGATACAGAGTTTCTGAGTGGAAGATGAAGTTCTGGGGATGGATGATGGTGATGGTTGTGTAACAATGTGAATGCACTTAATGTCACTGAGCTGTACATGTGAAAATTGTTAAAATTATAAATTTTGTTATGCATATTATAGCACAGTAAAAAAAAAAGAAAGAAAGAAAAAGATCATCTCTGTCCAGTGGCCCCAGGAGCACCATTTGTCTTAGTACTTGCTCTCCCCAAGTCAAGGCAGACCGGCTTGTCTGGGCTCCCCACCATAATCACAGGCCTGCTCTGCAGCCACAGGCTTTTACCCTGAGGCCTGATCCTAAGTGCTCCTGGGGCCCAGATCCTTTCTGCCCCAAAGTCCCTGGTTCCATTTCAGGCTCTTTTCTCTCTTCCCTGAGCCCCTTCCATTCTATCTATTATGTGCTGGCAATTCATGTTTCAGAGGCATGTGCTTAGATCAAATGATAATTCACGTGCAAGTTTGCTGTTAACTGTCATGCAGCTATTATTTCTTGGGAGTAGGAGAAGGGCCCAGCAAGGAGACAACAAGAATGGAGAGAGAAGGAAAACAAGAGATTGCATTTGGTGGAAAGGTTGTCTTTGGACTTGGAGAGTGGAAAGTGTGAAAAGTGAACAACTGTGCCTTGGAGAGAAGTTTCAGGAGAGGTGTGAAGATCAGAGGCAGTGCGATGAGAAGAAGGGACGTGGGCTGGGGAGTGAGACAGATCTGGGTTTATATTCTAGCCTATCCCTGTGTCTTTGAGTGAGTTCCATAGCATCTCTGGGTCTCGGTTTCCTTATTTATAAAATAAAAAGAATGACTTCTAATATTATTGTGAAAATTAAAATGCAATGTATGAAAAGGGGCTAACATATGGTATAGGTAGTTCATGTTGTAGCTGAGATAATGCTGATGCTGCTGGTAGTGATGGATTATGGGGTTTTAGGAAGTAATCATAGAAAAGAAAAAGCAAAGGCGGAAGTATTTAGGGTTTGGTAATACACGTGTTATGTTGAAATGTGCCCCACAAACAGATATGTTGAAGTCCTAACCCCAATACCTGAGAATGTGACCTTAGTTCAAAACAGCATCATTATTTCAGTTGACTAATTATATGTAATTGGTTAAGATGAAGTCATACTGGGGTAAGGTGGGCCCTTATTCGAATTTGATTTTTGTCCTTATAAGAAGAAGAAAAGAGACAAAAGACACAGTCACGGAGGGTAGAAGGCCACGTGATGACAGAGGCAGAAATCGGAGGGGTGATGCTGCAAGACAAGGAAATGCCCGGACGGCTGGCAAACCCACAGGAGCTGGGGAGAGGCCAGGACAGTTTGTCCCCTGCAGATTTCAGAGGGAGCATGGCCCAGGTGACATCTTGATTTTGGACTTGTAGCCTCCAGAACTGTGAAAGAATATATTTCTGTTGTTTTAAGCCACTTGGTGACATTTCGTGACAGCAGCCCTAGCAAACAATTTCAGCACAGAAAAGCAAAAACGGGGAAGTGGCCGGGATCATTTTCCAGATCTCAGGAAACCTAAGGTGTAAGATTCCCAGACCTGCTTCTAGCCTCTGTTAGTCTCACCTCCTAATCCCAGTTATCTGTAGCTCTGTTGTGAACCGTCCTTCCCCTCCCAGGGTGTAGTTACCTGGAACAGAGCAAATTTGGCTCCCATGTTCTGCTCGCCCAGGTGCAGCCTGGCTTGACGGAAAAGGATCCCCAGTGTCCAGAGAGCCAACAGGGTGGACACACCCAGGAAAGTGTTGATCCACAGAGCTGTGCTCTCCTCGGAAATCTGGCGACAGACCAGACAGGAGTCAGTGAGGGAGGCAGGCCCTTTTCTTTATTTTTCTCCCCAAGGCGGAACAGTTAATTTAAAAAGCCCCATAGCCTTGGCCTGCTCCAGTCTCCCTCCCACCATAGGCTCTGAACCTGTATTTTTCCACAGTCACCCTGTCCCCAAGTAGCAGAGGATGTTGGTGCCAGCTATTCCTGCTAGAGCTCAAAGGGACTACATGAGCCTTGGACCTCGCTGCCCCTTCCTCCTGGCTTACATCTGCTGGGTCATAGATGCCATCGGGGATGAGAAACAGGCCCACCAGGCTCAGGGAAATTTTAAAGAAGGCGTACTGGAATGGGCCCAACGTCAGCAGCTGAAGCTTTTTCCTGCAGGGAGAAGAGGGTTAGGGACATGGACCCACAGGCCACCCTCCTCAAGAAGACTCATCTCCCTCACTGGGCCCCTGGGCTGAGAGGCTTCGATGCCATCAGACACCAAAATGGTTAAATGAATGGTGACACAGGAAGAAGCCAAGATGTTGAGAGCATTGGCAATTCTTGCTTCCCACTCACTCCTAGGCCAGAATGCTGCCTTTTGAGTGCTGACCCAACCCCATTAACCAAAATGAGCATGAGGGGGCGAGTAAAGAGCCTACAGTCTAGTTTGTTTCGCATGGCTACACTTTGTAGGTGGCAGTGGGCTTAAGTGACAGGAACTTTGGAGTTCTCTTTTCTCCGCTCCCCTTCCTCCTGGGCGCCCACCCTTTCATCATCAGGTTTGTCCCATATAAGACTAACTCCAGGAGGCTTGAGGCAGGCCTGAGAGAGCCAGCAGATGCTCTCGGGACAGTGCAGGAAGAGGTCACCTGTTCTTTGAGGACACCTCTCCCTCCTCTCTTACCTGGTGAGCATGAGTTTGGGGCAACAGGGGCAGCAGCAGCAGCAGGGGCCGGTGTGGATCATCATCGGGGTGTCCTGCAGTGTCCTCACCACTGCCTCCTTCCCACCGAAGCCTTCCACCATGACCCGCATCAGCAGGTAAAAGCACACCGCATAAAACCTGCAGTGGGGAGAGAACTGGGCCTGAGAGCACACGGAGGGGAGGCAGTAGCCAGCTGAGGGGCGTCCTTTGCTGCCAAAGAAAGATGGACTGCAAAGAGAGTGGAGAGGGGCGGGGCTCACTGAGGGGAGTACGGTAGGGACTAGCCATTCTGAACGTGTGACCCAAGAGGAGCAAGAGAAGAGGATGGCATCCAGGGGCTGGGAAGGGGGAAATTTCAGGCTTTGGGGTTGAAATGATGACGGGATAAACAGATCCAGAAGTTCAAGAG